TATCCTTCAAGGAGTTCTTCGCACACAGCCAAAAGACAAAAAGGACACTAGGTAGTAGTGTTACAGAGAACAAATTAAGATTGGTGTATTAGAATCCTACGTACGTATAACATCAAGTTGGCCAAGGCAAAGAGAAGTTGGTCAGAGTCCAGAATCCAAGTCCTTTTACAAGAAGCTGAATTGTCCTCAAATTGCAACGTAAGCCAGAATTCCTAGTTTTAAGCAAAGTCCCAAATAAAAGATCAGTGTGTTGACCTTTTGCAGAGTAAACTGGGTGTGGAACCCAGGCTGCCTCACCTCTCTGTACCACGATGGAGCTGGGTCCATGCTAAATGTAGGAGAAGCATTTACCATCTTGTTCTGTTTTGGCTGACCATAGGGAACGCAGGTCCCCACAGTATGTATGTTTTGTCCTCAGTGCAACCCTGAAAACTCCTACACCGCTGTGGCTCTGGGAGGTGCAATAGTTTCCTTAGGCGATTGGTGAAATGGCACCCAGAAGGAATTGAGATGGGACCAGGCTGCATCTGGACTCTTGGTCTTCCTTTCCTACCATACAGTTGTCTCCTAGTCCCCCATCCCAGCGGTCTCAAGTGTCATGGGGATCTTGGTATAAATAGTAATTGTCTTTTGCAAACTTTCTCATCTTCAGTGCTGCTGCAGGATGATAAGCAAAAACTATACATCTCCCTACCTTAAAATATTGGTTGGACCATTTTCTGGTGTTGGGAACTGGACCTGAGCTCACGGGTAGGCTGCCGCATAATCAGCAGAGTTTTTAAGGAGCTGGACGAGATATGTGTTCCTTGTGGACAAATAACTAGTGCCTTGGGCTAAAGAATATGGCTCACTTCTGCAGGTCTTGTTTCTGCTTCTGTTCTTCTTTTTTTTTTTCTGTATTTTTAGGGAAGGGTCTACAGGGTGTTCAGGGTCTCACTAACTAGATAGGACTCATAGTGATCCACCTGTTTACAGCCTCCCAAGAGCTGGGGTTCCAGGTGTGTACCACCCATGCCCAGTCTCAATTGCAGTCTCAGAGCACCCCAGGGGTGGGGCCAGCACAGCAGGCCCAGGGGTTGAAGCCCCGCCCCTGCACCTACTTGCAGCTGCTTTAATCCCCTGAGCTATTTGGCCGGCCCTGCAGGTCTTGTTTTTAATTTCATTTATTTGTCCTTCAAGTCTATCCTTCCTGAAGGAAACAGCTTCTACAAACACAGAATAGGAAAACAATTTTCCTTCATGTGACTATCTAGATGTTAAGCAGGAAAAACTCTTTTTTAGCTTCTTGGAAGCATTGTTTGGGATTTTGTTCAAAACAACCCTGATTCTGTTAAGAATGTCTTCAGAGATAAGGATTGGATTCTGAAAAGCCTCACAATTTGTATGCCTGTGACTGCACATAATTGAATTGCTTTTTTTCTTAATTACACATCATTATAGAGATAGGGGCTTCGATGGAAGTGTATTTTTACAGAATAAAATGAAACATCAAAGGATATACACTGTCATTCTTCAGATATGTCTGAAACAAATTTATGTCAATGCAAAGAGGGTCGGTCACAGCAAGAATGTTCTTCAAACTTCAAAGAGCTGATCAGATGTCATGTTAAGATCAAACTCTGCCTCAGGGAAGCTGAGTTGTTTCCAGTCTGCCCCCTTTGATAAGTCTAAGGCAGATTTAATTAACATGACATAAAATGAGAAGGAGTTTTGGCCGTGTTGCTTTCCCTCCAATTCTTCCTTCATCTCAGTCCTACTTAGACACTTGGTTCCACTGTAGCCCGCGTAGCCAATAGCTCGCATGTGACGTTAAATGAAGACTGAAAATGTTCCACTACTGTGGAAATAGTACCTAGAATACCATGCTGTCAAAGCAGAGGAAAATCTACCGTATACACACCATCAGGAGGGCCTGGGACATGCTGTGTTCTCTCTTTTCACATTCTATTTAAATAGATGTTGCTCTTCTATACAACTAATGTATTTAGAATTAACTGATTTTTACTGAGCATCAACTATGTGCCAACAATCTACAGGATGTTCAGGGTCTCATTAACTAGATAGGACCACCATGAAAGGTCTAATTTAGCACAGTATTCATATTTCAGGTGTAGATTTCTTATTGCTATCCCACTGCCTCCTTAGTGACAACACATTTTGACTTGTTATCCACAGACCATGGAGAACTTGTCATTTAGTCTGCAGCTAATATACAACCATAAACTATAATCATTCAGCTTATTTGGTGAAACCCCCTATGGAGAGGCTTAACAAGGGTGGTTCTGTTTGTCTAGTAAGTAGGGTTGTATGAGAGGGGACTATCAGGCAATGCCAATGTGGGATACCATTCAGTAGATACCAGGTGAGGATCCTAGTGCCTTCTCCATCAGCCTCTTTTCCCCACTTTTCCCTGTAATGTCTTATAATGTTAGCACATTCCATGGATTACATTGGTAACTCTCATTCACACATTAACAATTGCTGTAGATCTCTATGTTTAAGTTAGAGTGACACAAAAATTAGTTTACATTCCAACTTGGAGAGATGAAGAGTACCTGCTTAGAGCTCCATGAAGAGCAGAACTCTGGGGTCCTGTCTAGGTAGAATAGGCTTAATTCTCAATGCCAGTCAAGGGAAAGCATGGGCGTCCTAGTAGGGGACAGGTTCTCTTCATACCACAAGGTTAGGCTGTGCACTCAATGACAAATACGTCTGTGTGAATTTACCTGGTAACTTTCCTGAACTTTAAAAGAAGAGAAAGGGGAAAGGGGACAGTTCTGAACTCAAAGATAAGATGAACATAACACTCACTTTGTGTCAGTTCTGATAAGGAGGCTTGATGAAGAAGCTAAAGCTATTACATTAGAAGCAACTGGGGAGTTGCAGATAGCATTCCTTAGGTTACTCTTCCTGAGGGTTGGCTGACTGAGGAGGGTCACTCAGCTGGACAACTTGCTGCTTCCAAGAGCTCCTTGTTCTGTTTAACTCCTTTCTACAGAACGTGCACTATGTGTGTACTACGCAAATCCTCAAGTCCCCAGCCCTATCGTCTGTGATCAACAAGATTAAATACTTGAGCAATGGTCATTGAAATTAAGTTGCATTTATGCATAGTAATAATATAATAAAGACAAGGACTCTTTTAATAGCCAGTACATTCTTACTGAAGGTTTATATTCTGGATACTAAGAAGGGATTAACATTTCTGAGTTACTGTCCTGAAAAGAAGGCAAACAATTAGAGCCCACATGGTGTGTAATATGTGGTTACACAGTTACTGCTAAATATTTTTCTCAATTCAATTATGTAAACTTCAGAGCATTATTTAAAATAATAGGCATGTTCTATGGTTATTTAGAAATCACCAGTAGAGGAAGGTGTTGACTTCATTGACCTGAAGCAGCCCTTGCCAAGTGTGGTTGAATATTCTGTTTGTCAGCTCAGACTTTGACGACCCATCCTGGTCTCAAATGTGATCCATTTTCCTGCTGCACATGTTGCTGCCTATGGTGTCTCTTGGCTTTTGTTACTAAGGTTTTCCACTTAATGTACACTGCCTTGACATATGGTTATGTTATGTGACTATTTGTAAATTATTATCTGACTTTTCACTTGACAAACCAGAAATTTCTGTCACACTAGACTGTAAATTCTCTAGGTTTGACAGAGATTTATGATTCATTTTATGTTTCCTTACAAGAAGGTTTTGAATGTATTTAGGGAGAACCACATGAAATTGTCTTTTTTTTTTTTTTTTTTTTTTTTTTTTTTTTTTTTTGTGGAACTGGGGATTGAACTCAGGCCCTTGCACTTGCCAGGGAAGCGCTTATTCCACTGAGCCATCTCCCTGGCCTTTATGAAATTGTCTTAATATGGCCATTTTTGCCCCATAAAAATCACTTTTATGTGGTTAGTCTCATTCCAGAAATGACTATGGTATGAGTGGGATGTGTTTAAAACTGCACATTGTTATTTGTGAATGTATGTATGCATACATGGACCATAGGCATGTATGCTGCAATGCTACTTTTATTAAGGTCTATATGTTTTCTATTGCTGATAGTTGTTCATTTTTATAATACCTGAAAACTATGAAATTATACAAAAGTCACGTAGGACTGATTAACTGGGTACAGTAACTGACAACTTGATATGTACATAATGCATATATTTATTAATAAATACATATTTATTAGTGTATATTACATACACATATTATGTGCATATATATTATGCTTAGTAACAGGATTGTTTACATTGACAAGATTTTTCCAAGATTTTTTACAATTTTTTTTTCAATAAATGAAATAATTCAGTGTGATTTCTTCCAAATTTGAATGTGAGGAAACATTTTTCACCACTAGAAATTAGCAACAAATGGCAGTAAAAGAATGAGGTAGATGAACTAAGAACTTGGGCATTTTGCTTTAAATTTCTGGGCCTTTGTTGGTTCGACCAGGAAAATGAGATAGCTAAATTTAGTGACTTTACTGTGTTCAGACTGTAACTTTCTGCAAGTCTCTTAAAACAAGATTGTTGCATTCTGTAAAGTGTACGTCTGTGTCTCTTAATAATCCAGGCATTCTTCACTCTTTGAGGAACTGTCAAAAAGAGGACAGCTCTGCAGCTTCCTCAGGTATGGATGTAGGAGTAGAACACAGTACAGCATGCAGTTCAAAGCCTGCAATTTTTGTGAACAGAGACCTAAGAGGCTTTTGTCCACAGCTCAGTTTGGGAAGGCTTGGAGGGCCGGGGTGGGCTTGACGTGGTACAGAGGTGGAGGTATTGTGGTTTTCAAGTTATAAATTTGTAATTGCTTGAGAATTTTTTTTCCTAATCATTTCTATGAACCACATTTGAAAGTTTCATCAGCCTACTCAAGAAAGCAGGAGGTGGGCCATTTAGTTGTTGTTTCTACCTTAGAAAAAGGACTAGAAATGTCAAGTTCAAGTGAATTCAAGGCCAACTAGGAAGAAAAATCTGGCGCAGGCCAAAGTTACCTTCTTACAGGCGGTGATGGAGCCCCCCAGGCTGCTCCCTGTGCCGCCGCTGCCACTGCTCCGCTGCGCGTCCAAAACTTCACACATCAGCGGTGACTCCAAGCTGCTGTTCACATCCCAAACACAAAAGAGAACACTTTGCATGAGTCATCAGTCTCACTGCATCCTAATGTAGGATGAGCAAGGAATGACAGTCTATCAAATATTGTCCTTATTGATTGCATTTAACAGCAAGGGTCTTTCAGCTGAAATTGGCTTTTTTTTTTTTTTTGAGATAATTGTGAAATTGGTGACACCTCTGTGGACAACTGGACAATCCCACTGTGAATACAAAGCTGCAAACCAGTGCCCTCCTCAGGGATTAGATGGACAGTTACTGCTGACTTCTAGGAATCTTTGCAGCTGTCCCCAAGCAAGAAGCTTAAAGCCCAAATAAGGCCTTTACATTTAGCATATCAGCTCTGCTGATACCAACACATAGTGAAGTACTCATTTTATTCTTGAGAGTGAGGACAAAATATAACTTTAGTTGAGGATGCAACATGACTCCCCGAAAGAGTATGAACTTCAGCAAATGCAGGCATCCCCTTGCCCTCACTGGGGCTGGAGAGAGTCCCTTAAATTCTGTCTCAGAAACTGGAGCCACCCTCCTTCTATCTAGGCCAGATTGTAGTGGGCTTCACTCTGTACTCTATACGTATGCTAATGATTAAGATTATTGGGGGGTGGGGAGATGGCTCAGTGGAATAAGTGCTTCCCTGGCAAGTGTAAGGGCCTGAGTTCAATCCCCGGTTCTGCCAAAAAAGATTATTTCTACACCTTTAACAAATAATGAAAATTGCCATTATATCACAGTACATTTACAATTAAACTTCAATACAAAATTCCTCTGAATCTTATAAACATTTCTAAGTACTTTTTTCCTGACACGATCAAGTAGAATTTAAAAAACATTTTTCAGTTTTGCTGTTGACCATCTAGAATATGTATGATTCACTGAAATATATTTTTAGGGTATAATCTAATCTTTACTAATTATCATGAAATTGTTTAAAAATGACTACTGATGGGCTAAGTAACAAAGCTAATCATGCAACCATTTTGCAGAACAATTAAAATAAAACAAGTATTGCTTTTTTCTGAGTAATTTTTTTCTGAGTAATTGTCACTGGGCTAGAATAAATCTAATGTGAATTAAAGGAAAACATCATTTATTTTGGCTACCTGGAGAAAGAGAAAAGTAAGGAAGTGGAGAAGAAAGGGAGAGAAGAGAATGGGAGGCAGGAAAAAAGGAAGATAAGGGTGGAGACAGGGAGAAGGCAGGAAGGAATGAGCGAAGAAATGAAGAAGGATGGTGGAAGGATTCAGATTTATTTCCTGGCTACTGGTCCCCAGTCATAGGCAACTACACTCTCTGGGCCTCAAGCTCTTTCTTTATAAGTGACATACTCAGGCCAGGGAGATAGCTCAGTGGCACAGTGCCTGCCTGGCAAGTGCAAGATCTGGAGTTTGATTCCAGGTAAAAACAAACAAACAAACAAACAAACAAATAAATAAATACAAATGGCATGCTCAGTCTAAAGTCTCATAACTCTGAAAGTCTCTTGAAGAATACACTAGAGGCCTTAAGTTTTCAGTTCTTTTTATAGTTTTACCCAATGTGGGGGCCCAGTTTATTAAGCTGTCATTTCAGGGTGATTACACGTTAATCCCACCTGCAGATGTCCTAAAGACCAAATAGGTATCACTGCTCTGTTTTAAAACATTAAGATGTGGAAGATAAAGCCACAGACTAAGTTAACTTTGGTCACATAAGTTAGACCATGAATCAAAGAGATAACGTGTATTATTCCTCTAGGAGACAGTCGAGTGCAGTGTGCAGGAATTCAGGAAGACTCCTGTGTCCCCAAGGCAGATCTGAGGAGCTAGATCACATCCATCCATACTGTAGGACACATGTCCTGATTTAGGATATTTTCCACTTTACAGTGTTAATGACCCCATGAGTGGGTCATGTGAAGGTTGAACCATAAAGCTGAGGAAGGCCTCCGATTGCTCAGTCCTGACATAAAACTGTAGAAAGATTAGACCATTTCCAACTGCTCTAGAGGAGAATCACATCCAACTTGGCCGACATTGGTTCTGCCTCAAGGCAGAAGGTGGTGTGAAAGTTTTAAAAATCATCCTTGAAAAATGACTTAGCTGCCCAACAAGACATTCTGTATGGCCTTAGATAGAGAGCCTGATATAGTGCTTTTCATACACCCAAAATTTTAAGAGTTGCTGAGCTCATCTAGTAATGCAGAAATGACAATTCTACCCATAGGTTTCTTGGTGAAATTTTTCTGCTTTAATGATTATGAGGTGTAGAAAAGAATTTGAAAGTTTGTTGCTTTCCTGCATAGTACACTCCATTTGTTCTAATGCTAGGCATGTATGGTTTAATGAACTTAACTGTGTACCTTTTCACACATTTTTTAATTTATTATTGTGGGAATTAAATGAGTAAATAGAATTCTGTGATGCTACTAAAGACCAGGTACCACTAATAATAAGCATGATGTTATCTATTGCCTCAATATTGAAAACAATGGCATCTCTACATTTCCACGAACCCACTGCGTATCACTCTAATGGTGTCTAATACCAAGAAGCATGCGGGAAGACTTTTCTTTTAGGTAAGCTGATATGGATGCATATCTCTGATAGGCAGCTTTATATTTAAAATCAATCTGTGGATTTGGGATGGTGAAGAAAATCTCAGAACTTTCATGAGGTACTATACTTGGGTCTTCCTAGGATATTTGCTGCTACAGAATTGGGAAAGATGGGAGTGACATGAAGCTTACTTATTTAATACAGTGAGCTCAAGCTGATGCTGAAAGAGCTGTCAAGATACAGTATAGCCTCATAACTTGCTTCTAATGGGTAAGTGTAAAAATTCTTCTTTGGGATAATTTTCTTTGATTTGACTCGTGACAATATTGAGCAAGTCTGTTCAGACTGGTTTCATGCTCCAACTGTTCTATGTGTGTCAATGGAAAGGTGGATAAAGTTGCAAAGATCATAAAAGAAGAATGTGATGCAATGACTTTAAGCTAGCCTTCTATGAAGCAGCCTTCTTTACAGAAAATGTCAAGTATGAATAAACAAGGGAATAAATTGCTACTATACTGCCATCATTAATGATTCATGCAAGGTGAATAAGTAGGTCATCGTTCATAGTGAAAGTTGTCCAGGGAGTATTCAGCAG